GACGTACGATAAGCAGTTGATGTTGCAGAAGCTGGATAATATAGCCGATCTTGCTGCGAAAGGAAAGGATAAAGAAGCTGCACATTTGCTGGTGGAAATGAAAAAGGAAAGAAAAGAGCAAGAAATTCTGCTGAAGAAGCAAGAAGAGATTGTTCAAGAGTTGCAGAAGCATGTTGAAGAGAAGGTAAAAGGTGAGCGTAAAGTTCACTTAGAGGGGGTGAAAAAGGACAAGGGGTCATTTCAGAAAAAGGGCACACTTGCTGTTGGAGAAGTATTTCGGAAAAGACGATCCCTCTTCCTCGAATTTCTTCCTCTGCTATGTCCTTTTCCCTTCTCTTTTCCCCATCCTTCCTACTATCTTGTCAACTTTTCTCAGCTTCCTACACATTTTCCGAAAATTTCCAGTTTTTCTCCGAAATCTTTTGTGGAGCGGGAAGTGGGGGGAGGGCTGTATAGCATTGAAACAGGGAAACGAAAAAAAAACTGCGAAAAGTAAAAATCGAAAAGTTTTCTCGCGGCGTGTTTCCTCATTTCCCAACGACAAACAAGTACGACTCCCATCCGCACCCCATTGGAGTCCTCTCAACGATGTGGATAACGCCGCGAAACAGGAAAAGCAACTATCAAATACTTTTTTTAACCAAATACGATCCGTAATACTCAGAGGAAAGGTCGTAACTGGCCTTGAAAGAAATTCCTCCGATCGTTGATTTCTCGTGTTTCTCAAAATTTCACATTTTCACGCCTGTTTCCCTAAATTTATAATCCTGTTACAATTACAGCCATCTTGCCCCGACGATCTGATTCAAAAATTCGTATTTACTTGTTTCAGCGAAAGAGTCCGGAGAGAAGGTCGAGGAGAAAGTGATGCCCGAAGCCAAGCGCGATGTCGAAAAGTCGAAGGAATCCCTTAAGATGGTCGAAAAGGCGGAGAACAAGCCAGAAGTTGTCAATGCCGAGAGAAACGCCACTCAAAAATTCCCAGCAACTGTGCAAGAGAAGGAGCTGAGCACGAAGTCGATTGATAGCCCAGCAAACGTGAATCGCGCTCGCGATGTTCAAAATAGAAGCAGGAAAGCAAGTATAGAACATCGTGAAGCATAGAAGGAGCTGTGAAAGTGATTGCGAACCATTCTCGAGATTTCTGAAGTTGGTATGTTTGGCTAGGTAGGAAAGAATGTGTCATGGTGGTAAGGTACTAATCCCGAGTGTGCAAGATCCGAGGCGCGTGCGGTCGCGGCGCGTAGGAACCCGTTGACCGCAGCTACGCTCGCTTTTTCCATGTAGCTATGAGATACGTGCCTGTCATACTAGAACTAACATAGAACTTAAAGAACACATGGGTACGCTCATACACATTGAGGGTGTATGAGACTATCAGCCCCCAGATGTCGATGTGTCGTGGTCCCCCCGCCCAAACATGCCCAGGAATGGAGATACAGGGCCGTGAAACACGCTAATTCTTCCATGCTCCGCCCACTGCCTTTTTACGGCGCAGATTCCCGCCGTTCATAACATCCGTTGCAAGCGCGCCTGTCGCGTGCGGCTCCTTGGCACTTTGCCAAGTCCTTTAATTGCGCTCTCAAATACAGGGAAAACGCAATTTCCTGATGCGGATAACATTGGAGGTGCTACAAAATAAGAGCAGAAGATGATGACGAGGGTCAGAACTTAAAAGCAACTGTGCCACTTCTGCAACATCCCTCGGAGGCCACGTATTTCCACGAAACATGAAAATAAAAACGGCATACTCGTTAGTTTAATACAAGCAAAAGGCAATTTCCTGATGCGAATAAAATTTAGGTGTTGCTCATGCTTCAAAATCCATGTACAAGGAGATGAAGATGACACAGGCTAGAAATGAAGCACAACGATGTAAATGTAAACAAAACAAAAATGAAAAAATCAAGGAAAGGCAAATTAGATAAACTGGCCTGTAAATTTCTACGATCCAGCGCCAAAGCCGTAGAAATACTTAGAATAAACGAGTGGGACGCTTGGGCTGTTTTTATTTTCATGTTTTGTGGGAATGCGCGGCCCTTGATGGATACTGCAGATGCAGCCGAGTTGCTCTTGAGTTCTGCCCCTTGTCATCATCTTCTGCTCTTATTTTGTAGCACCTCCAATGTTACCCGCATCAAAGGAAAATTGCGTTTTCCCTGTATTTGAGAGCGCAATTAAAGGACTTGGCAAAGTGCCAAGGAGCCGCACGCGACAGGCGCGCTTGCAACGGATGTTATCAACGGCGGGAATCTGCGCCGTAAAAAGGCAGTGGGCGGAGCATGGAAGAATTAGGTGTTTCACGGCCCTGTATCTCCATTCCTGGGCATGTTTGGGCGGGGGGACCACGACACATCGACATCTGGGGGGCTGATAGTCTCATACACCCTCAATGTGTATGAGCGTACTATGTGTCTTTAAGAATGGTGAATACTTCGTCACTTTTATTTCAGGCCTGATACTTGGTTTTGGCCCTCTGGCACTACGGCGTCAAAAGGAAGGGGCAATGCGGTTGGATCAAGCAAGGCTGCTGGAGGTTCTTCACGATGTAGTTCATTCCCTATACTTACATAAGGCTCAACACTCAATAGATCTCAGTACGGACAGAAATTCGCCAGGGCATACTTAAATTTTTCCGCTTTGGCGCCGCTCGTCATGCTGCTGCTGTTCTGCCCTCCGCCAACACTTACCCAGCCTGCGCTAGCTCCGTGGTCATACATATCCAGAACTATAAAACCCAAAAGCAAGGCGCAATTTCCACGCGCTACGCCGCGCCAGATTGCTTTCTTGCCAGCCGCCCTCTGACAGAACTAATAAAATGCGCTGTACATGTGGTAATGTATTGATACTATTTATCTATTGACATTTGCGATGAAAAAAAAACCCTTTTGAAGCGAATGTTGGTTACTAAACATGTGGTTGAGAACATCTTTTAGACCAAGTCAAGGCTAAAGGACAGCGTTCCGCGACAATCGGATGGGCGGAGCCTCACCGTTGTGGCCCAATACTCACAGTCGCCCCGTTTTTTTCTACGATATCAGGAAAGAGCGGCGCACCAATGAGACGGTGCATTGGTAGGGTAGCTCCGCCTACACGATCAATGTGGAATGAACCGTAAAGCTTGGTTTCGAGCCTGATGCACTACTTTTTTGACTGGTTATTAGGGTTGTGTTGGTAGTACTATTGGCATTTGTTTTTTGGGTAAGTTTAGTTATCGAACTGGTTTTTAAGTTGAATTTTGATGATTCCCCATCACGGGTTTGTTATAATTGTGCAATGTGTTTATGAGAATACTGCAATGTTTTGAGGCCACTGTGCAATGACCATTGCGAGGGGTGGCGATGAAAGTAGAGTGGGTCAGGACATCCGATGCGGCAAACAATTCTCAATAAAACTGGGATTTTCGGATAGGATCTGCATTGCGGGCAGAGCTGGGAAGAGAATCAATGAAGCAGACTCAGTGATAGCGAATCCCCATCCACATCGTTAACGCGGAGGGTTCTCGCAGATCAGACACTAGCCCAGCCTTCTCCTGGACTTCTAGGCTTTCCCGATTCGAGGCACCTTTATTTCACAGAATCCCTTCGCTTGGGGGTCATGCATACTAACGAAATTCCAGGGATGCATTTTGGACGTGGGCTATGGTAAATCATACATATATTAACCATAAGCTTACAGACATGAGCCTTTCCAGTGATATCCTGGGAGGTCATGAGAAGTTGTCGTCCTCACATAACTGTCGGTTTGTTGTCGTTGCAACTTTAATTGATTATATGAATAATCACTCATTTCGTAATGTATGTCTCGAATAGAGAAGGCACTAATAGTCTGCAGTAATGTTCTTCACATTGCTCCGCCATAGATACAGCGCTGGTTCGCACTGTGGGGTAACTGGAATGTTTGCAGGACTTGGTTGGCGGCGGCGCCAGCCGGTTTTCCTGCATTGTGCTCGCTGCAAGCTCCACACACTGGTGACTACGTGCTGGCGCCGCGCCAACAGCCTGACAAAGCTTCATAATCCGGAGGCGAACGGACTGAACTTGCTAACGTTTGTTTTGTTTCGGAAATTCGGTTCACCCGGATAGTACCCTACTCCAGGCCGTGTACAGAAAAACGCCTCCGGTGGATATACAAATATGGTGATATGCTTTAGTATGATGCGAAAGATTGGATTCTGGTTGCTCCCACCGCCTCACGCTTCGCATAACTGCATAGTACAGGTATGCACACAAGTGGCTGAGGGGGGGGGACAAGGAAAAGTTGTTAAGGCGTTTTACGTGGGCGACTAGACAGCATGTCCGTTTGCTGCGCCCTCTCAATCGGAAGAAATGTTGCGTATAACCCGACTCAGAATCTTCGAGACACGCAGAAACTATCCTACTATATATAAACGGCGACGTCTGTCTGTCTGTCTGTCTGTCTGTCTGTCTGTCTGTCTGTCTGTCTGTCTGTCCGGAAATTCGGAACTACCTGTAAGAGCCAGTCTCAGGGGGCGGGTCAAGGTTGGGATGGGTAGGGCATGGGCCAAGATGTACGAAACACACGTGAACTAGGCTAAGCCCCGCCCACTGTGGGCGGCGCGTGCGCATAGTTGTGAGCTTCATATTTCAAAAATTCGTAGTTCGGTTCCAAAAAAGCCCCGAGAGCGGAGAAAAGTGGCAAACGATAGGCAATTAGTCCGTGGACGAAATGACTGAAACAAACCAATTTTGGGCGGGGCGTTCTACAGATGGGCGGTGCTTGCTTCGAGATTTTCAAAAATTCCCAGTTCGGTTCCAAAAGAGCCCCGAGAGCGGAAAAAGTGGCAGACGATAGGTAATCAGTTCGCGGACGAAATGACTGAAACAAACCCATTCTGTGCAGGGCGTTCTGTAGGTAAGCGGTGCCTGCTACGAAACTTTCAAAAATTCGTAGTTGGGTTCCAAAAAAGCTCGGAGAGTGGGAGAAGTGGCAAACGATAGGCAATCAGTTGGCGGACGGAATTAATGAAGCACACCCGTGATGGGCGGAGCGTTCGCCGAAGTGGGCGATGCCGAGGACGAAAACCCTCGAAACGCATCCGAAAAAACCCCGAAATGGGGAGTGAGCTGAAACTAAACAGTGGTATGGCAGATGAACGTAGTGAGGGGATAATCGTAGGGAGTATCCCAAATGGTTGGTACCGTCGGCAATAGTTTGCAGTGCCGCATAGAAAATTTTGATGGCTGTCTACTAGGGGGGGTATATACTAGAAGTGAAACGGTAAAGTGCGGTAATTCTCAAAATAATATTTCTTTCGACCATTCGTCCGACTGGCCCTCCCTCACATGGAAAACTTCTCACAGGGACCCACTTCACACGCGGAAGGAGGATCGGCCGGCGAAGCCGGCCGATCCGACTGGCCCTCCCTCACATGGAAAACTTCTCACAGGGACCCACTTCACACGCGGAAGGAGGATCGGCCGGCGAAGCCGGCCGATCCGACTGGCCCTCCCACATGGAAAACTTCTCACAGGGACCCACTTCACACGCGGAAGGAGGATCGGCCGGGGAAGGCCGGCCCGATCGACGGCCTCCCTCACATGGAAAACTTCTCACAGGGACCCACTTCACACGCGGAAGGAGGATCGGCCGGCGAAGCCGGCCGATCCGACTGGCCCTCCCTCACATGGAAAACTTCTCACAGGGACCCACTTCACACGCGGAAGGAGGATCGGCCGGCGAAGCCGGCCGATCCGACTGGTAAGTTATATAGGCGCACTTGAAACGGCAACTGAGAAGTTCAACAATCATAAACATCCCTCCTCAAAGGCTGCCACCCGCCATCAGATACCGCCCCTAGCCAGGACTCCTCAAGGTACAACGTGCCCGGGGACGTGGTGGCATGATTGTACCGCGGTGTGGCACCCCCGAACTACGTGAACCCCTAGTCTGCGTGAGTAGAAGTGTGGCTAAACCAACTGTTTCGTCGGTCTATGTCTGAATCATGAGAGATCTCCAATAGAAAAACGCTTGAAGTTGGTCAGTTTTCTATTCAAAAAGGGAGGGAACAGTATTCATAAAAGGATAATACGGAGCAAGGGCGCAGCTGAGCAACTTGGACTTCGATAAACAAGTTTCCTGTGAATTCGATAGTAATGCACGTAAGCGGTGATCCTCACCATGAGGGACTGCTCACCTTCTCTATCCCTTTATTTAGCTGTGATCAAGCCTGGGAAATCACGGACATGATAGTCCTTCCATAGGGGGAAAAGTTGCAAATACGACCAGTCCGCCCCTCTGAAAATTCCTCTGTTAAGACTCGGAACCTACTTAGCCGACCGTCTAAATTTCCCTGATTCACAGCCCACATAAATACTACCGTCGACGTGCTAGCAGGGGAGAGAGAGGACCGAAAACAGTTTTCTCAACGATGAGCACAGATCTTCCTCCCCCCTCCAGCGACCAAGTACGAGCCCCACGGTGTAGCCTCCCTGTTCGCATTGTCAACGTACGACACGCCCGGCTGTCTGAAAGCATACTAGGTGTGATGTTCTTCGAAAGCAACATAAGTGTCGTCGCGAAACTTGGAACTCAAGCATATTTTAACAAGTGACCGGCAGATATCCTACCGGGTGGGGGCATTTCAAGGGCCTCTGTACAGTCATGGGGATTCACCGTACTGCAGAAACCTTTATTCGAGGAAAGTAATAGGATTGCCCATCGCGTTGCTCCTTCTCACTCATTACCTTTACACTTATGCAGAAGTCCTTTACTGGCGCACAGTTTTTGCCTTGGAATGTCCCATCTCCATTTACCGTTCTGAAAGCGTCAATCGCTCTAAGGTGTTCAATTTCAGCCAAAAAATCTGTCACCCGGGGTCTAATCATCATATGGGGACGGCGCTGCGAGAGTCCAGGGGTATTTGCGCGAAACATCTACCAGTCCAGTAGTTGAAGGGAGAAGGTAAAGGAGGAGGGATCAGAGAAGGAAGGAAGGAAAAGAAGGAAGGAGGAAGAAAAAAGGAAGGAGAGGAGAGGCTTCCCGGTTGACAAGTGCCCTGAGACGGTATGGGGACGGTGAAGTCCGCAATATGTCGTCGAACACCACGCACGCGAACGGCGCGAAAGATTTGTTATTTAAAAATTTTACCGCGTTACGCCTTGTTTTCGCTGAATTTGGCCGGGTGTTGAAATTCTTGCTCTTTGAACGACTATGACGTTGTTTTCGTCTAGGTCCCCGTCTGTTGCGACCTCCATGCTATTCTGTTGGTTAACTGCCTTTGTCTGGGTAGAATTTCCTAAATGTTCTCTTGGTTTGGCCCTAGACAGTCTATTGATTACTTTTGCGTGTACTGCCTAGTCGTTCAGTGCTTTTTCAGAGTTTATTCTTCAAGTTTAAAATAGTGTAGAGAATCAGACGTTCCCACAATGACGGACATCAATCCATTGGCGATAGAATGGGAGGAACAAGGTGAGACCCACAATGGTGTTACTTCCTAGAGTCTTAATTAAATTGGTATTATCAGGTCTGTCCCTTCGTGATTACCAGAAAGAAGGTGTAAGTGCAATGGATTCGTGGTATCATGCTGGTCATGGTGGTATCAACGGCGATGAAATGGGTCTCGGAAAAACCTGCCAGGTACTTTGGACCTAATTCTTCTTTTTTGTCTTGTTTTTTAGCCCTTGGTCACCTGTCAGTTTTGTGACTAATAGAGGAATGTATCCTCTTCGCGAGCGAGACGGATGGGTAATTCAAGACTGTTTGCTTTTGGCGTTCTATAAAGCGCAGCAATAAGCGAGAGGCTTGTGTTGGAAATGTTGTTTCTCAGGCCGTGTTCATACTTTTCGCCAAAACGTGTTTTGAGCGAAAAAGAAGGTACAGGTAAGGTTCAGTATTTTGAGCTGTCGATTCGCTCAAAATGTTGACTTCCTTTAAATGCTTCCTTCGCTCCAAATGCGCTGGCGGCCAAAAAGCCTGGTCGGAACTAAACGAAGCCTTACCTTTTCCATTCGTTTTCGTCGAAAACGCCGAAAAGTATCAGCATCCTACGTCACTGCCTCGCCATAAGCTCATCGTAGCAACGCCATACGCCTGGCGGCCAGTTACACTTGAGAGCAGATCGACGTGCGTGTGGTTATAGTTTGCCTGGCCGTGTGGCGTATTGCTGCGTATCGCGTGTCGAATGGCTGAATGAGGTCTACGGGCTTTTGTCAACCGCGGCAATGGGTGACTCAGCAATTTGTCGCGTCGTCGGTCGTCTCGCACACTCTCGTCGACGCTGCGTCTCCGCTTAGAAAGGCTAGAGCGTAGACAGAAAGGCATCCACCGATCCCCCCCCCGCATCCCGATGCTGAAGATCACCAGTTCACGTGATTGTTGCGTGCTGCCTTCTCGCTTCTTACTTCAAGTATTATTCTTGAAGTGGAATTGTGTTTGTTGGAAAACTACATGGATGTTGCAAGTAAGGACTGTCGAGACACACTTGCAGCATGTAGATGATTTATCAGACTATCTTTTCCGATCCCGGAAAGCACAGCACTTTCGGGCGAGGAGTGCGAGATTACACGGTCTGTAGGAGTCAGTTGTTATCCTTTCTATAGCACCTTCTATAGCACTCCCATTTCATTCAGGTTTGCAGAGACAATGGAGTGCATACTAGCCACTATACGAATGATCTGCTCCTGACTAATGCTTAGTCTATAAATTGTCGTCTCAGAGCACATGTCAAGGACTACCTACCTATCACTTTGCGTAGTTTTCGTGACTAGCTATCATTCCTGTTATTGAAGCCGTCCACCTTTCCCCTTGTTTCAGTTTTGAATCCTGTTGACCTTGAAATTCACCCTCCAGTCGCCACTGACACAAAATAAGGGACAAATAGTGAATCCTCAAGGTGTTCTCATTCAATCTTAACCTCTCGTGGCTGAAATCACTTCACGTGTCTTCTCCTTACGAGAGATGGCTTTGCAGGAGAGGAGAGACGACGAGCGTACACGCCCATCTCCCGGCGACGGCCGACACACGTCATAACTGCCTCGTCGTCTAATTCTCATAGCTAGAGAAATTTCGGTTGACATCTGCCCCGTAACCCTGAATGAATAATTAAGGAGGCGATAAAAGGCTTGTGGCCTCATTTGCCGCGTCACTGACTCCACCTACTCTTTTCTTGTTCTCGCCTATCCCGCACTTTCCATCTATTCGTCCTTACTCTGCGACTCCTGTTGTGGAATGCGTAGGTATCCTTTGGTAGGAAACCTTTTCGGGTTTATCCACAGCAATTGTGTTGTGGTAGGAGAAAAGCGACTGGTAGCACTCCTTGATAAAAACTTATTATACATCGATTATGCGAAAAAAGATTCAGCAAATCTTTCCGTCCGTAAAAAGCATGGCTCTCTCGCGCGAATTTGCACAAACTTTCAGGCTATTGTTCAAATGCTCCGCTTCAAACGAGATGGGAAAGGACCGTTTCTTGTCGTATGTCCGCTTTCCGTGTGTGATCATTGGATTTCAGAAGTTACCAGGTGAGTTGAGTTCGAGCTCTTTTTGTCAGCTTGTAGTGTCCTGCTTTTTGTGATAAGGCCTCTCCCAGGTTTTCATGTGGTACGCTCAATCCTGTCGGTTATCTTGGCCATGAAAGTGCTCGGGTAGATTTGCTCAAGGAACTGAAGACTCTCAAACGAAATACGGTCTTCATCACGCCATATCATGTAAATTTTCTGATGTCCGCTATTTTTGACTTCAGGGAGCTGAACAAGCGTTTTTTTCAGATAATCCGCAGAAGGGCTTGCAAGTGAAGTCTAAGCTCAGGTTTGAAGTCGTAATCGTAGACGAAGCTCACGCTATCAAGAATTCGGAGAGTCAACTCGCAGAGAGTTTAAAACCCGTAAGTGTTAATGACTGTATATTGTTGTTTTCTGAGCTCCACGCTCAAGTCTAGGGTGGACCCGAGGGAGGGGACGGCGGTGCATAAGGCATAGAAAATGGTTGTGTGCACACTGGAAAGCAATGGAGGCTTGATATTGAAGAAAAATACGCCCTTAATTGTAACAGAACACCCACCACCCTCACGTCACCCCCTTATCCCCCTTCCTTACTCTGCGGCAGCAGGATCTTCAGTAGTCGGGCTGTGCTTAAGTGCATGTTGTGAGTTTTAAGGATGCTAAACACTCTCGTAAGGCTCCGCCCATCGGCAAGAACCACGCCCAGTTTTCGTTTCCTAAGGTTCCCTGGACATTTATCCCCGCTTTGTGAATACTGGTTTTTTGCATTGTGAATGCTATTGAAATGATAAGAATAATGAGCTGAAGAGCCGCTGTTGCAATGAAGGTAACGAGTTAGAGCTCGTACAAGTTCGGATCCGTAGTGGTCTTATCTAGGAGATTTTCTGCTGTCGTTATCCCACTAGTGTTGCCTTCATTAGACTTGGAAATGTGTTGCTCTACTTAAGGATTGCTGTTTCAGCTTTTCAAAGTTTATTCTCTCTATTTTCAGTACCGGTCTGACGCATGGTTCCTGCTTATGACTGGTACCCCTATACAAAACCATTTGGGTGAACTGTACTCCCTGCTCACTTTCGTGGATCCTGTAAGTGCCCTTTTCGATCTTTTCTCGTTTCGCTTGGTTTCCAGACTGCTTGAACTCGGCCATTCATGTTGCATGAGTTTAGTCTTTACTGTTGTCCGCGCTCTCTCCTACGTAGCATAGCGATTTATGATCACGGCATTCCAGGGTTTTCCATGTGGCAAATCATTCAGTTATTCTTCAGACGCTAGGAAGAAGAGAGTCTTCCGCTCCACTATTTTTTTCTGCACGATTTCCTCCACTAG